CCGTTTCCCTCGTGCTTGCTCGAGTGAAGCGGCTCTCGGGCGGCTCCCGTTTCCTCATACTTCTTCGAGTGAAGCGGCTGAAGGGCCCCAAGACGGCCCAAAAGGGCACCAAAATGACCCAAAGACGGCCCCAAGAGAGCTTCGGACGGCCTCCAGACGGTCCAAGAGAGCCTCCAGACGGCTCCAGAGGCTCTCCAGAGGGCCTCCGAGAGGGCCAGGGGAGGCCAAAAACATCGAGGGTCCAGAAGGGCCCCAGACGGCCCCAGAAGCCCCAAAGATCGTCCCCAGGACGGTCCCAGAGGCCCCCTGCGCTCCTGTCCAGGACAGCGGCAGCGGCCACCGCGGATGGAGGGAAAGAAAACGGTCCGACGACGCGCAGGAGTTTATGAGGCAACTGCTGGGAAGTCTTCGTCGGAAGGATCACGGAGGATGAAGCTCCATTGGGGGGCTGCTGCGCCAAATCAGGCCGCGGATTAAACGGGATTGAGTCGGGTTTGGCGGGATTGCACGGCATTGAGCCGGATTCAGCCGGATTTCAGACCAGGGCATAGCCAGAATTTGACCTCCCGAGAGTTGCACCCGAAGAATGTGATGCTAGGCAAGAGTGACCTTTGGTGCGCGGCTTTAGGGGACTAGAAAGGGCCCAAAGCCAAGCGTGCGGGCCACTGCTAGGGCCAACCCTGTGCGCCCGCACCAAAGGTCACTCCAGCCAAAGGTCATTCTCACGAGTAGCCGAACGGTGACCATGACCAAGACTGCACGCGGAAGTGTCGGTGTCGATCGCAGTCGCCGTCAATCGTGGTCACCGTCGATTCGTGGGCCACCTCCGCGAATCGACGACAGCCGGCAAGGACCATGAACAAGATCGGCATCGACAACAGAAGAACAACGCCCATGCACCGTCTCATTCCCTACCTAGGCTCTGCCTAGAAGGGTTCTTACTCTCTGGGCTTAAAGAGGCCGGGCAGTGGAAAGCGCCCCGGGCGGTTCCCCCCGTATCCGCCCCGCGGTTCCCCATGTTACGTCGCCTTAGCTTAGCGTTGCTTATCTCATCTTAGCTTAGCCTAGCTTAGCTTAGCTTAGCCTAGCCTAGCCTAGCTTAGCTTAGCTTAGCTTAGGTCAGCTTAGCTTAGCTTAGCTCAGCGCAGCGCAGCATTAGCATGATATAGCATAATATAGCATAGCATAGCATAGCATAGCATAGCATAGCATAACGTAGCATAGCATAGCGCAGCATAGCATAGCGCAGCATAGCATAGCATATCAAAGCATAGCATAGCATAGCATAGCGCAGCATAGCACAGCATATCATAGCTTAGCTTAGCATAGCACAGCGCAGCACAGCATAGCATAGCATAGCATAGCATAGCATAGCGCAGCATAGCCTAGCATAGCATTGCATAGCATAGCGCAACATAGCATAGCATAGCATAGCGCAGCATAGCATAGCATAGCATAGCATTGCATAGCGCAGCATAGCATTTCATAGCATAGCATAGCATAGCACTGCACAGTGCAGCATAGCATGGCATAGCATAGCATAGCGCAGCATAGCATAGCATAGCATAATGGCATAACATAACAGCATGGATGTTGCTTTCCTAGATGCTCCAACTCCTAGGTAGGGTCGCACTGGGATAATGTTTGGACTCCACTTAGGCCCCGCTCCAACACGGCGCTGTGCAAACATCTATTCGGCCGCACCGTACCATTCCAGGGTCGACGATCGACGACGCTGTGAGACGCCAACGAGGCAAGCCGGCCGCGGAGACAAGATCCCTCGACAGTTTGGTTATGGCCCGCGCGTTTCCTCCCACGAAACGTTCAGCGGCCATTGAGCAGCCAGCGAGCAGTGGCCAGCGAGCAGCCGTGGCCGCGGCCTCTCCGGCGCCCCTTCCATGGCTGGCCGCCCGCCTGAGGCATCCCGACGTCCTCCACCGCCAACGAGTAGGCCCCCTCGCAGGAGCTCTGCCCATTCGGAGACCTGGGGTGGGGCCACACTCCCGTCGAAGATCCCACGGACACCAAATATCCGACTGCACTTGTAACAGGTCTGATATCAAAGAGAAAACTATACAATCACAAGCCGAAAAAGTTCTGGGAATGCGTTGGCCGAAACTCTCCCAGAGCTCCGACCACTCTCCTGCAAGAAGGTGGCGATCTCCAGAGCCAGCCCAGCGCGTGCAACACACAGGGTCCACTCCATGTCCGCCGCAGAGCTTGCGCCGCACTGGCGCAAAGAAATGCCACTCAACTGTTTGATACGGTTTCTGTGCTATAACGATAGCCCCCCCCCGAGCAGCACGCCGCCGCATGCGCCCACCCGCCTCCCGACAGGCCTGTTCCTCTTAGAAAGCAATGGAGCCGCGCTGCAGCGGCTGCAATCCCTTACAAAATGCGATGGGTCCGCGCCTTCGAAGGCAAGATATGGCCCAAGATGCCTCCAAGACGGCCCTGGGAGGCCTTGAATTCGGCCCAAACTGGCCCGTGGACGGACCACGAGGCCCCCCAAACGGTCCAACACTGGGTGCTGTCGGTGGAGCTGATCAGGGCAACACACACACACACACAGGGCAGACACGCGGCCTGAGAACCAGCGCGCCTAGAGCCCACACCCTGGCCATGCGGCAGATCGGAGTGCCTCGATCGCGGCGCCGCTGGGGCTCTCGGGGGCGACGACAGGGGCGAGTAGCCGAGGGGCGGGCACTACACGTATTCGCCCGGGAGCCTTGTCGAAGACAGAGATCATCGGCGCACCTGAATACATGTATTGTTCTCCCCTGGGCTACTCGCTCCTGTCGTCGCCGCTGGGGCTCGCTCTCCAGCCCCCTGGGCCAACGGAGGTGGAGCCGGAGCGGGAGAAGCTGCCCCCGCGGAGGCGGTCGAGACCTTCGGGGCCTGGAGGTCAAGTGGTCCTGGCGAAGAGCCCAGCCACATCTCGAGGATCGAAGCGTTTGAACGGTTGGTCCCCTCCTGGGCCTCCAGCCCCACCGAAGGACTCCGACCCAGAGTCCTCATCGCCCTCGTGGTCCTCATAATCCTCGTGGTGTGTCCAGGAGGCCTGGAAGGATGTCAGGCGTGGTGGTCTCCTTGAGGTTCCGGCCCTGCTTCCTGGCCCTCTGCCTCTCTGGCGATCCTGCGGCCCCCTCGTCTCTTCCTCTCTTCTAGAGGCGTGGTCGATCAACGGGCGCGTTCCTGCAGGCCCAGCTCTCCAACACCCCCTCTGATGGAAGAAAAACTTTATGAATACAGTCGGACCCAGGCCAGAAGAACATCGCTCAAGAACATGAGACCCTCCGTCGGCCGAAGCACACAAAACATCCTAGGGTACTCTCCGCAGGGTGCACAAGCACAGCCAACGAGCACGAAGAACATCAGGGCACCCTCTACGAACCGACCTCGATCTTGTACCTCGGTCCGGCTGTAACACTTTCGGAGGTCCGCGCGGAGCTCTTGGATCTGCGCTGAGCCCCGCCCCTCCAGGGCTGGCGCCCCGGAGTCCCGAGGCCGACGGGGAGCTCTCGAGACTTCTGGGAGCCTCTGGCGACCTGCGAGGGCCTGCTCCTCCTCGCTTCTCCACGCTCCTCCTCCACGCTCCTAGCACCTCCTCGTTCCTCGCTCATCCTCGCTCTTCCTCTTCCTTCAGCTCCTCGCTCCCCCGCGCTGGTCCTCGTCCCTCTCCTCCGCCCAGTCGCTCCTCCCCTGTCCCGTTTCCTGAAATGAAGAACTCCGTCATGTCGCACCCCCGGACGTGTCGGCAGGGCGGGCCGGGCGTTTCGCCCGAGCCTTCTTCGCCGCTTCGTGCCCTTGACACTTGAAAGTTCGCAACAGTCTCACGGATGGGGGGCGGGTCCTTTCCCAAGTGTGGCTCTCGCCTTGGCGCCGCGCACATTCGTCTTAACAGTTCGCAACAGTCTCACGGATGGGGGGCGGGTCCTTTCCCAAATGTGGCTCTCGCCTTGGCGCCGCGCACATTCGTCTTAAAAGTTCGCAACTGTCTCACGGATGGGGGGCGGGTCCGTTTCCAACTGCGGCTCTCGCATTGGCGCCGCGCTCATTCGTCTTGAAAGTTCGCACTAGTCTCACGAATGGGGGGCGGGCCCGTTTTGAAACATAGCTCTCGCCTTGACGCCGCGCACATTCGTCTCAAAAATTCGCAACAGTTTCACGGATAGGGAACAAGCCCTTTCCCAAATGTGGCTCTCGCCTTGGCGTCGCTCACATTCAACTTAAAAGTTCGCATCAATCTCACGGATAGGGGGCGGGTCCTTTTCCAAATGTGGCTCTCGCCTTGGCGCCGCGCACACTCGTCTTAACAAGTCGCATCAGTCTCACGGATGGGAAATGGGTCCTTTTCCAAATGTTGCTCTCGCCTTGACGCCGCGCACATTCGTCTCAAAAATTCGCAACAGTTTCACGGATAGGGGGCGGGTCCTTTCCCAAATGTGGCTCTCGCCTTGGCGTCGATCACGTTCGCCTTAAAAGTTCGCATCAATCTCACGGATGAGGGGCGGGTCCTTTTCCAAGTGTGGCTCTCGCCTTGGCGCCGCGCATATTCGTCTTAAAAGTTCGCGACAATATCACAGATGGGGGGCGGGTCCTTTTCCACATGTGGCTCTCGCCTTAGCGCCACGCACGTCCGTCTTAGAAGTTCGCGACTGCCTCACGGATAGAAGATGGGTCAGTCTCAAGATGTGGCTCCCGCATCAGCGCCACGCACATTCGTCCTAAAAGTTTGCAGCAGCTTCAAGGTTGGAAGGCGGCTCCTTCTCGAAAGATGGCTCTAGCGCTAGCGCTAGCGCACAGCTTCTTTTACAATAATTAAGAATTCGCACGTTCGTCGTCCCAGGAACGGTGGTCTGGCCTGATTCGGGATTGTCAGGACGCAACATTCACATTGATTCGGAGCGGTGAAGTCCCAGGATTTGCATTCTAGCACGATTCAATACTTTCAGGGCGCACCAGTCATGTTGATCCGCGGCGTTGAAGTCCCAGGAAATGTGCTGGGGCACGACCGAGGCTTCTGAGACGGTCATCTTCTGACGGGCCACTTCCCGCAATGAAAACAAATTACTTCAGGGACTAAAAAGAGGAGCTTAGAGGGAGAGTTGATTCCAGCATCATCAGCATCATCATCCATCACAGTCAGCGTCATCAGCAGCCTAGGCATCATCATCAGCAACATCATCATGATCAGAGAGAGCGTGATCCACCGCCGCTTTACTATGGAAAATTGCCGCCCTTTTCCTCTGGAACCTGGGGGTCCCCCCCCCCCTCCGAAAATCCCCCCCCCCTTGCTGGAACCCCCCCCCCCTCCCCCCTTCCCCCGGCAAACCCCCCCCTCCCCCTCCCCCCCCCCTCTGGAAAACCGGGGGGGGTCACTACCGGTTCGAACCCCCCCCCCCCCCCCCTCGAAAACCATTGTCCCCACCACTACCGTCCCCACCACTGTCCCACTGTCCCCACCACTGTCCCGCTGTCCCCTCACCACTGTCCCCACCACCACCGTCCCCACCACTGTCCGCACCCCCCTCGGTTTTCGAGGGGGGGGGTTCGAACCGGTAGTGACCCCCCCCCGGTTTTCGAGTTCGAGGGGGGGGGAGGGGGGGTGGTTCGAACCGGTAGTGACCCCCCCCCTTTTCATAATATGAACGGGGGGGGGGAGGGGTTCGAACCGGTAGTGACCCCCCCCGGTTTTCCGGAGGGGGGGGGAGGGGTTCGAACCGGTAGTGACCCCCCCCGGTTTTCCGCCAGCGTCGGTAAAACAAATTACTTGAGGAACTAAAAAGAGGAGCTTAGAGGGAGAGTTGATTCCAGCATCATCAGCATCATCATCCATCACAGTCAGCGTCATCAGCAGCCTAGGCATCATCGTCAGCAACATCATCATGATCATCACCACCATCCTTATCGTTCGCATCGTCCGCAGCATCTGAGTCATAGGCCTAATCCTCTGATGCCTCTTGTTAATAATCCTCGTCCCCCTCCTCCGCGCTGAACATTAGCATCAGCGTCAGAACTCGTTTATGGTTCCTGCTCATCGCTCCTCACCATCAGTATTATGAGCGTCGATAATGCTCCTCCTCCTCTTCCTCACCCCCCCCTCCTTCCCTCCTTCCCCACCTCCCTGTCGTATCCCATCACCCTGATTCCTCATGCTTGCTATTGATGCATTATCCTCATCCTGTACATCCTTCTCTTCTTCCTCCTCATCCTCCATCCCTCCTCCTTGTCAGTAACTCCCCCTTGTGGCGCCACCAAGAATGTCTGTAGGGCGGTCAGTCCCTTACTTCTACACACTGCCTCATCCTGACGCACCGTTTTTGACAACTACACGGACTGAGGGCAGGTCGTTCTCAAAGTCTTCAATCCGCCTTTATCGCAAAACGAAAGGGAAACGAAAGCAGCCCACGAGATCGCCAAAACACCGTCTAGGTCCACCCCTGGATTATTTTCTGCCTACTCTTCGGAGACCCCTCCTGCAGAGGGCCGTGCCCCACCGAACCCTGCCGGGCAGGTCGGGCGGGCGGACCTTCCACGAGGCGGGCCGGACGGGCGGGGCCCCTCGGCGGGCGGGCGGGCCCCGGCGGGCAGGCAGGGCGGGCGGACCCCAACGGGCCGGTCGGGCGGTGCACCGGTGGAGGGCAGAAGGTCCCCTCCCAGAAGAAGTCGCCCCGACGAGCGAAGGCCGTGGAGCACAGGCAGCCCGTGCAGTGAGGATGCACGATGAGGACGCAAGGGCCTTGGACGCCCATTTCGGAGCTTCTCGAGCGGGGCGCGGCCGACGAGAGTGGCCAAGGATGGGCCGAGGAGGCAAGGATGCGTGGGTACCCTTGGGAAGGTTGCCCGTCCTTACTATGCGGGTTGACTGTACACGCACCCAGGGGAGGAATCGAAGAGGGCAGGGCTGTCTGGTAGACGCCCAGGGCCGTGCACCTCCTCCTCCTCCCTGTCCTCCTCCTCCTCCTCCTCCCTCCTCCTCCTCCTCCTCCTCCTCCTCCTCCTCCTCCTCCCTCCTCCTCCTCCTCCTCCTCCTCCTCCTCCTCCTCCTCCTCCTCCTCCTCCTCCTCCTCCTCCTCCTCCTCCTCCTCCTCCTCCTCCTCCTCCTCCTCCTCCTCCTCCTCCTCCTCCTCCTCCTCCTCCTCCTCCTCCTCCTCCTCCCGTGAATCGACGCGGGCGGGCGGGCTGCCGGGCCAGCGAAGTCGGCAGGCCCTAGCGGGCGGTTCGGGCGAATGCGGATCCTAACGTGCGCGGCGGGCGGAGCACCGAAGCAAGCTGCGCAAGAGGCAAGGAAGTCTCGGGCGAGGTCTAGACTGCAGACAGAAGCGGAGGGGAGTCTCGTGCAACGGCGAGGTCCCTGGGCGTCAAGAGCGCGGCGCTTGGATGGATTGCAAAGAGGTCCAGGGCGAGAGCGCGATTCTGAATTAGTGGCAAGGACGTCTCGAAGGAAAGAGCGATTCCTGCATAAGTCGTGTGGAACCGTCAGGCGGGAGCCGTTGTTGTACTTCGGGGGCCAGTAACGCAGCTTGAGCCCCAGGCCTTTCCCTGCTGGCAAAGCAAGGTCCGAGCCTGTGTGGGGTGGGGGGCACTTCCGCTCAAGAGACACAAGTGGGCACTGGGGGGGATCAACAATAATCACTCTTCAGACATGTAGGGATCAAACACTGACTCGGAGGTCCTCGCGGAATCCTCGGATCGGCGCTGGACCCCCCTCCCTGGCGTACGGAGCGCGCCAGGGGCGGCGCCGGAGGCGCCGCCAGGGGAGGCCCAGCACCGATCCGAGGAATCCGCGCGGACCTCCGAGTTATTGGTTTTTGCTTGTGTCGCTAAAATGAGAACTCAACATCATCATCATCGTCCTCCTCATCATCTTTCCCTCTTCCTGCATGAAATTCGCCACCCGGAAACCTCCAAGGACCTCCGGGGAAGTCCCCCGAGCCCTGCAGAGGCTTCAGGAGGCCGGAACATACATCCAAAACTCATATGTATTCGCATGCTTTATATATGTACACATATCAGAAAACAGCAACAAAACGACTAAAACTGACCTCGACCCTCGAGGTCCCACGACCAAAGGCATGTCCCCCGACCTCTCCCCCGATCCCCTCGCGTCGCGGAAAGAACACCCCGGGCAGTGTTCTGGTTGCTGCCTTCAGCCTCCGGGGGCCCTCGCCAGGCCCAAACCGTCAGAGACACCTCCGCAGGGAGAAAACGAAAAAGAAAAAAACATGGCGTCGGTGACTACCTACCAGACCACCCCAACCCAACCCGAAGACCCGAATTCGACCCGAATTTCGGGTTGGGGGGGGTACGGATACCACGTGTTTTTTCAACGTTCCCCGACCCCCCCCCACTGGAAATCGAGGATAAATTTGGGCCTTCGGGTTGGGTTGGGGTGGTTTGGTGGGTGGTGAGTCGGGGGCCCGGGTCCCGGAGCAGTCTCCGACGGCCCGCGGGGCCCGACGCCGGCCTCCCGAGGCCGAGAGCATCGAGCAGCGCGCCTCGAGCCTCGAGCCCTCGACACTCGATCCTCGCTCCTCGACGGCGGTCGGCCTGAACCGTGTTTCTCGTTTTCGTTTTGTTTTTTTGCTTCCCCTCGCTTCGTCTCCCATCCGCCTCCGCTGCAAGGCGAGGTCGGAACGAAAACGGCCCACGGGATCGCCAAAACACCGTTCAGGGCGACCCCCGCTCCTCGAGCCGGGGTCGCGCGGTCGGGGCCTCACCACGAGCACGCGGGGCACTCCGCGCGCCGCCGGCCACGGCTGGCCGTCGCAGGGCCTGGGAGGCGGCCGCGGCGTCGCTTCGGGCGCGGCCCGGCCGACCCCTCCGTGGCGAGCCTCCTGCTCCTCCTCCTCCTCCTCCTCCTCCTCCTCCTCCTCCTCCTCCTCCTCCTCCTCCTCCTCCTCCTCCTCCTCCTCCTTCTCCTTCTCCTCCTGGACCGCCTTAGCGTCGCGCAGCGACGCGCGAGCATCTTCGCGGCCTCGCGCCCCCCCACCGCCCCCTTGGCTTGGAGAGGGGCATCCGCTCTGGTTGGCGGCGCGCACAGGGGGGTAGGGGGAGGGGGGAAGGCTTCTCAGAAGCAGGGCTGGTTCTTAGAAGGCGCCAGCCCCCTACACCTCTCGACAAGGCCAGCGCCTTCTGAGAAGCAGGGGTGCTTCTGAGAAGCCTTCCCCCCCCTACCCCATCTGCGCGTGGCCGAGTATCCACAGATACGCGATGCCCTGATCTGTTCACTACGCGGCGGCCCCCCCCCGAAGTCTCGACCCTGTCCCCAAGACCTGTTTTTCATCCTGAGTCGCTTCGGCGGCGGACAAACCTCCCTTTAGCAAACTTCCCCTTCGTGAAAACGGCCTGGGACCGAAACCGACGGCCCTGGACCCGCAAAAACGACGGCCGCGACGCCCTCTCGCGAACCGACAACGGCCAATTCCTTAATCGGTGTCAGGGCAGGAGGAGGTCTATCCACCTCCGATCGTTCTGGGACGCTCCCGGGGCCCGGCGAGTGGGCGAGTAACGACATATGTACATGTACGCCCTCCGCGGTCTTGCCTGCACGAACGTCCGCGTTGACACGCACTCCAGGGGAAGCTAACCGCGTACGTGTACATATGTGAATGGCCTCTGAGCGAGGGCCCGCGGAGCCCGAACAAACGGCGACAAGACCTCCCGCCCTGACGTCTGTCACGACGCGAGCACTGCCCGGGCCTCTGGGAGGCCCTCCGCGCGTGGCCAAAAGCCGACCCCGACCGCGGCCCGCGCGCGAGACGGGGCCACCTCCGCCGACTGCCTACCAAACCACCCCGACCCAACCCGAAGACCCGAACTTCGGGTGGGGGGGGGTACACCACGCGAAATGGTTAAGAAATCATGGGTTAAGAAATTCATAGTCTCAGAACTTGAACAAAAACCCAACATGTCTATTAAAATCTTAAGATTTACATCGAAACGTTAAGAAAAATCGAGACTCTGGCCGAAAACTTAAGTTTTCTTAAGCATCGCCTAAGGTGTACGGGCTCCATATATGTGTTTTGTCAATGTTCCCCGACCCCCCCACCCCCCCACCACACTGGAAGTGGAGGGCAAGTCGGAGCCTTCGGGTTGGGTCGGGGCGGTTTGGTGGGCGGTGATCCGCGCCCCCGCGGGCGAGCTGTAGGCCCTCGAGAGGCCCCCGCCTGGTCGCCTGCCCATCACGCCTGGGAGCGAGGAGCGAGGGGGGCCGTCAAAGAAGGGATCGGTTCGACAGGGATCCAAGACGAGAGGATGAGAATCGGGCAAATGGAGGGAGGATAAATTGTGTGAGGATGCCTCGAGTGTGGATAGATCGAGTGAAGATCAACTTGAGAGGGGGATGGATCGAGAGGGGGATAAGATCGAGTGAAGATAAATCGAGAATCACTGGGATCCAGCGGATCTGGAGGATGTCTCGGGCGCCGCGGCCTTCTCAGAGCGTTCTGGAACGCTCCGAGAGCGTTCCGGAACGCTCTGGAACGATTCATCCTCGTACTAGCTCCGTCCGCGGAACGGTCAGGCCGCCCCCTACCCCAGAAACGGGCGCTGCACAAGAATCGCGATGGCTGAATGTTCTACGCTTGAGGCCCCTGGGGGCCGTCTCTCAGACCCAGGCGCCGTCTAAAAACAACCCTGGATGAAGGGCTGGCCCCGTGGAAGTGTCGGGATCCTCGGGAGGGGCACGTCACTGAAAACACGGCGTCGGAGGACATGGTCATCTTCCTCCAGCTCATCGTCCTCCTCGTTCCTTCTCTCCCTCCTCGTCGCTCCTCCGCGCTCCCCCTCTCAGTCCCACTGCCTCATCCGCCACCGTGGCTTCAGCCCGCAGCGGCGTGCCCCAAGGAGCATAAGATCCTGAGAGGTAAAGGGTCTGTAAGACTCGAAGGGCACAGACGCCCGGTGTCCCAGGCGCTCTTGGGCGCTACAGTCGGGCTGCTGAAAGAAGGAACGATAAACAATTTGGAGTCCCGAGACAGTACGGTGACAGACCGTGCGGTGACCTCGAAATCCCGCAAGACCTCACCGCACGGTCCGTCACCGCACGGTCTTGGGACCTCGGAGGCCCCAGTCGCCCGAGACATCCTCGGAGAGGAACTCGAGTCCCAAAACCGTGCGGTGACCCCGAATCCCCACTTACTCACCGCACGGTGAGGTCACCACACCGTTTGGGGGCCCCCGGAACAAGGAACGAAGCCCCTTTTTGGCCCCACAAGCGCCTGCGTGCACGAGGAAGGCTGGAGGAAAAGCCATAGAAGGACCTAAGGAATATCGAGCCCCTTTCTTACCCAAACTGTTCCTTCTTTCAACGACTTGGCTGTACAGGGGTACGTTGCATGGGCCTCTAGGACGGCGACCCCGCCCAACGGGGCCCCAAAGACGGGCGAAGAGGGCCCCAAGAAGGCCCCCAGCAGGGTCCGAGGGCCTCCGAGGCGGCCCGAGTGCTTTCCAAGACGCCCAAGGTGGCGTCAGCAGGACTCAGGAGGCCCCCAAGACGCCCTAAGCGAGCTCCAGGGGGAGCCCCCAAGAGGGCCCCAGGCAGCAAAAATCGTCCCAATCCCTTCGGAAAACGTAAATGTTTAGCATGTTCGCCATTTTCGTCGTCACAGCGTCCGAGACGGCCCAAGAGACCCCCATGATCAGCCGAAGGCCGCCCGAGAGGTCTCCAAGAAGGGCCCAAAGACGGCGCAAGAGGGCCCCAAGACGGCGCAGGAGGCCCCTTCGATAGCCCGAAAGGGCCTCAAGAAGGTTCCAAGACGGCTCCAAGAGAGGCCCCGGGTGGGGGACCACGAACCGAAAATCCGAGCCTTCCGCCCCAAGAAGCCCCGAGAGGCCCCCAAGCGGCCCCCAAAAGGCCCCAAGAGGCCCCTGAGGGGCCCCCGAGAGACTCCAAGAGGCCCCCAAGAGGCCCGAAAACAGCCCCCCAAGAGACGTCAAAACTGCCTCCAGGAGGACCCCGAGAGGCCTCGACCAGATCCCTCAAGTAGTGGATCGACTCCATAACTGATTTACCCCGCACGTGACTTTTCGTCGAAACTACCAACAAAAAAAAAAGAAACAACAAAACTACTCGTTTGATGTAGCTTCGACGAGAAAATAAGTTCTGGGGTCAATCATTTCTGTAGTCGATCCCCTACTCAAATCCCGACGAACATCTAAGAGGCCTTAGACCCACAACCCAGGCACGGTGGCGGGATGGGCCGAAGGCCATTTGATAATTCATTCCTCCCTTTAACACCCACGGGTGTGCCGGTAGCGCGGGCCAGGCGTTTCGCCGGAGACCCCCTCACCATTTATGACCCTGAAGCTTGGAATTTGCAACAGTTTTAAGCATGGAGGGCAGGTGGTCTTCAAAGTGTCGCCCTCGCATTACCGAGGCTCATATTCGTTGTGAAAGTTCGCAACAGTTTCAAGCATGGAGGGTGGGTGAACTTCAGAATATGGCTCTCGCCTTACCGCCAGGCTCATTCAAAAAGCTTGGAAGATGTTCAAGCATGGAGGGCGGGTGGTCTTCCACATGTGGCTCTCGCCTTGGCGCCGAGCAGATTCATTAGAAAGCTTGGAACAGTCTCAAAGAGGGAGGGGGCCGAGGTAGCCGCACGATGCCTCAAGAACGCACATGGGGGATCCAAGACGCTCCCAAGACAACAGATGCCTTGGACAACGCATGTTTCTTCGGCAGGCGTGTCTGTCCCACGTTTTGCCCCAAGGCGTCCCGAGAAAAATTCCGAGACGGCCCCCAAGAGCCCTCGAGACCACACACGACGGCCCGGGGTGGCTCAAGATGGCGCCCACACCGCCCAGAAGGGCCGAACAGAAGGTCCCCAAGTGGCCCCCCACGTTCTTGGGAGGGAAGAGGCGAGAAGGCAGATGGAGGAGAAAGAGGGAGTGGGATCTGGAGAAGACAAATGCAAGAATAAGGGCGAGAATGCAAGGAGTGGAGAAGGAGGAAATCTCCTTTCTTCCGCGCAACACCTGCAAGACGGCCCAGCAAAGTGACACGCCCGTGCGCGAGCAGCACTCCGAATGGCCTGATGAAGAATCCCCGAGACTAAACAGTTAGCAACTCAGCCTGTCAGCCTTACACGCCCAGGCGCGAGTGGCAAACCGACTGACGCGCTGAAGAATCTCAGCTGCTGAGAATCAATGGGAAAAGCAAGGGACGTATGAGGGAGGAGGACGGATGAAGGAGGATCAGGAGCGACCTGCTCCCGAGCGCATGGGGTGTATGGATACCGGTTGGGGGGGCCTTCTGGACACATGCCCGAGGGGCCTTCGTTCCTTCGTGGGGGTCTCTTGGGGCCGCTCTGGCTCCTGGACTGTTTGGGGGATCTCTTCGGCCCGTCTCGGAACCCTCTGGGCCAATCGCGGCGCCCTTTTGGCTCTTGGGCCATCTTGGATCCCACTGGGCCGCTCGGGGATCTCTTGGGGCGGTTTCGCCTTGGGCTCATCTTGGGCCATTTGCGGGCCCTCTTGGGTTGTCTTGAACACGAGGGCACTCCTGGGCGTCCTGGGGCCCCACATACCGCACTGGGGTATTATCGTGCCGTTGTTGGTCCCTCCTTGGACTCGGTTGAACCTTTTTGGGGGTGTGGAGCCGTGGTCGGCGCGCTCAATACTGAAAGGTACAACGTCGGAAACCGCCTGATACCATTACGAATCAATGATCCCAGTGCGACCCTGCCTAGAAGTTGGAGCATCTAGGAAAGCAACACCTACATCTACACCGACAGCTACATGAACATCTACACCTGCATCTACATCTACATCAACATCAACAGCGAGACTCACATCTACATATACATATACACCTACATCTACACCTACATCTACATATACATCTACATCTATACCTACATCCACATCTACACCTACACCTACATCTACATCTACATCTTCACTTTCACATCGGTGTTGCTTTTGCTTTGCATTGCCTTGCCGTTGCTTGTGCTTTTTCTTTTGCTGTTGCTTTTGCTTTGCTTTTGTGTTTGCTTTTGCTTGATTATGTGTTTGCTTTGCCTGCGCACAGACACACACACACACACACACACGCATGTCTTCGCATTCGCTCACCGGGTGTGCTTGAGAATGCTCCGTATCCGGTCTACACCGCACGACTTGGCATTGAGCAAGGTTCAGCAACACTGCTTGCACTAGGTTCAACACTGCTTGCACTAGGTTCAACACTGCTCGCGGCTCCTCCAAGAGCTGCAGGCTGTTCAGCACTGCTCGCGGCTCCTGCAAGAGCTGCAGGCTGTTCAGCACTGCTTGCAAGAGCTGCAGGCTGTTCAGCACTGCTCGCGGCTCCTGCAAGAGCTGCAGGCTGTTCAGCACTGCAGGTCCGGCATTGCGTTGTTTGTGTTTTGCTTTGCTGCTGCTGCTGTTGCTTTGCCTTTGCTTTGCTGCTATGCTATGCTATGCTATGCTATGCTATGCTATGCTATGCTATGCTATGCTATGCTATGCTATGCTATGCTATGCTATGCTATGCTGCGCTATGCTATGCTATGGTATGCGTTGCTTTGCTATGCTGCGCTATGCTGCGCTATGCTATGCTATGCTATGCTATGCTAGGGTACGCTCGGCTACGCTGTGTTATGCTATGCTAGGCTATGCTATGCTATGCCATGCTGCGCTATGCTATGCTATGCTATGCTATGCTGCGCTATGCTATGCTATGTTATGCTGCGCTATGCTGCGCGATGCTATTATATGCTGTGCTGCGTTATGCTATGCTATGCTAGGCTATGATATGGCATAATATGCTGTGCTATGCTATGATATGCTATGCTATGCTATGCTGCGCTATGACATGTTGCGCTATGCTATGCTGTGCTATGCTATGCTATGATATGTTAATGCTGCGCTGCGCTAAGCTAAGCTAAGCTAAGCTAAGCTGAGCTGAGTTCAGTTAAGCTACGCTAAGCTAAGCTAAGCTAGGCTAGGCTAGGCTAGGCTGAGCTAAGCTAAGCTAAGCTAAGCTAGGCTAGGCTAGGCTAAGCTAAGCTAAGCTAAGGTGAGCTAAGCTAAGCTAAGCTAAGATGAGATAAGCAAAGCTAAGCTAAGGGGGCGCAACTGGGGGAACCGCGGGGCGGATACTGGGGGAACCGCCCGGGCCGGTTCCCACTGCCCGGCCCTTTAAGCCAAGAGAGTAAGAACCCTTCTAGGCAGAGCCTAGGTAGGGAACTAAATGTTCCTCTCGGGGGCCTGTGGAGCGCACACCTTAGGGCCTCGCGGAGCTTGTGGGGAGCCTCCTCGACGTCATGGAAGCCATCTGAGCCATCTGACCGGAAGCCTCCCAGACGGTTGCGGGAGCGCCAGCCAGGTAACCCGTGGAGTTTCGGGGCCCCTGGGCTGGAGCCCAGGGCCGTCCCCGGGGACGTTCGAGCGATCCCAGAGTGCCTTCGGCGAGGCGCGGCCCATGGAAAGCACTCTGGGACCGAAGACCCTCCAGGAGTCGAAGAGATGGTCCAGAAACCGCCCCATGGCTCAAAATGGCCTCCAGGATGGTACAAGATAGCCCAGGACAGCTCAAAATGACTTCCCCAGAGATTGGCGTGGGAGGGTGCCGACCCTCTGTGGAGAACCCCCGTAACGGGGAGGAGGGGATCAGGGAAAAATCGAGGAAGGTTGGGAAGGGGGTGGAGGCGCCGCTTTCTCTGTGGGGGAGGATCCGAATAACAAAACTGTCGTACAACTATTGTTGGGGTGGTTTTCCAGAACGACGCTTCGAACAAGCCTGTTACGATTGGCACGGGGCTTGCAACTGTAACTGTCCCTCCCTGTCTTCTCCTACGCTTCCCTGCTCAAAACAATTCGCCTGGGAGTCGTTCCTCAATGGGCTGGCGGGAATACCCACACGCAGCATCGAATATTGCTCGGGCGACCCCACGCTCCAACCCCTTCCCCAGCGTTGCTTCTTCTGCCGAGTGGTTCACTGGCGTTGTGCAGCTCAAGCAGGCAGCACCCGCATGGGGTGTTCTGTACAGATTCTGGAGCGTGCGATTGTGGCGTGAATCGAGAGAAGCTGTCGCAAGCAACTGACAAACCAGCATTACCGCTTCCGACATGTTCCTCGCGACCACCTCAAGTGCCCCGGAAATAAATGGACATTGCCAGCGGCGACAAAACACAAGCTGCGAGGAGTTGCACGAACACCGCAGACGCGTGGGAGGCAAACAAGAGCAGAGAAGGAATCTGTTTGCTAGAGCAGGACAAGGAGGGCAGCCTCAGACGAGACTGGTCGAACGCCATTTGGGTGCTTCACGGCGAGCGTTCTAGAAACAAAATGCGCGGGCTGTCACGCCGGCAGGCGGAGCACGCGCGGTCGCGCAGGGGAGGGGGTGTCAAGGAGGGGGAGGCCTGTGGTTTGCAGTCTTTGAAAAACACATGCGCGCGCTGTCACGCCAGCGGGCGGAGCGCGTGCGATCACACAGAGGTGGCGGGGCCAGGAGGGGGAGGAGATCTCGGGTACACAGTCCTGTAAGAAACAGCAGGGGATACCACGCTGTCGCTTGCGACCTCCAGCTCCACCTCTGAGACAACACCCACGAATCGCCACAAAGAAGTCCTGGGCCACTGCCACGCCCACCCACGGAACGCGACGTGTGCTCTCGCGAGACCCACGCTGCGAAACCACCCCTCGACTCCCCGCCGTGCCGACACGGCAGAGGAGGAGCCAGTCGCTCTGCGAGGCGAGGAAGAAAAACGCAGCATCGATCGCCAACGCGCCTCACTCACGGACGCCTGCACAGGGTCCTCCTCTCCCCCGGATGCCGTTCAGTCAGATGAAGATGGTCGGTGCCGCCAACGCAAAGGCCGCCTTGTTTAGCTCCGCAGCCTCCAAACGCCGATCTGGCATGCACAATCTCCACCCACTCCTGCTTTTCCGTCGGTCGGACGACCATACGATACTGGATGAAGGCGTGACCCCAGAGGGGCCCGAGGTTCCAGAGTAGTATGCTCCGTTGACAATGAGGTAGTCGCTGTTGGACTCTGTGTTGAAGGCTTCCACGACAATCGGGGCTGCGTTCACCTCGTCGATCCCGATCGTGCACATCTGGTTTCCACCGTAGTTGCTCGGATGGTTCGGGCTCTGCACACATGTGCCGTCCAGAGTGCACGGGCCCGAGATGGTCGCCCACATGTGCTGGGAAGCAGGTGTCGGTGCAGCGGTCGGCGGAGGAGCCGGCGCAGGAGTCGGCACCACTGGCGGCGCAGGTGTCGATGGACCTGTCGGCGCAGGCGTGGGCTTTGCAGTCGGCGGAGGTGGAGAAGTTGACACTGGCATGCACAATCTCCACCCACTCCTGCTTTTCCGTCGGTCGGACGACCATACGATACTGGATGAAGGCGTGACCCCAGAGGGACCCGAGGTTCCAGAGTAGTATGCTCCGTTGACAATGAGGTAGTCGCTGTTGGACTCTGTGTTGAAGGCTTCCACGACAATCGGAGCTGCGTTCGCCTCGTCGATCCCGATCGTGCACATCTGGTTTCCACCGTAGTTGCTCGGATGGTTCGGGCTCTGCACGCACGTGCCGTCTAGAGTGCACGGGCCCGAGATGGTCGCCCACATGTGCTGGGGCGTTGGTGCAGCGGTCGGCGGAGGAGCTGGCGCAGGAGTCGGTGCACCTGTCGGGGAAGCAGTCGGTGCAGCTGTTGGGGATACGGTCGGCGCAACAGTGGGTGCAGCTGTCGGTGCTGGCGGGGGGGCGGTCGGTGCCTCCGTTGGCGCAGCTGTGGGCACTGCTGTTGGAGAAGCCGTGGGCGGTGCCGTTGGTGATGCGGTCGGTGCAGGAGTCGGCGCGAAAGTTGGCGCTGCCGTCGGCGCTGCTGTCGGTGCACCTGTCGGGGAAGCGGTCGGTGCAGCTGTTGGGGATACGGTTGGCGCAACAGTGGGTGCAGCTGTCGGTGCTGGCGGGGGGGCGGTCGGTGCCTCCGTTGGCGCAGCTGTGGGCACTGCTGTTGGAGAAGCCGTGGGCGGTGCCGTTGGTGATGCGGTCGGTGCAGGAGTCGGTGCAACTGTTGGTGCGGCTGTGGGAGTTGCGGTTGGAGAATCAGTCGGTGCTGCTGTTGGAGGTGCGGTCGGCGCAGGAGTCGGTGCAACTGTCGGTGCGGGCGGGGGAGCGGTCGGCTCCCCCGTCGGTGCAGCTGTGGGAGTTGCGGTCGGAGAATCAGTCGGTGCTTCTGTTGGGGATGCGGTCGGCGCAGCAGTGGGCGCAACCGTCGGCGCTGCTGTCGGTGCAATTGTCGGAGAAGCAGTCGGCGCAACCGTCGGTGCAGGTGGTGCAGCTGTGGGTGCTGCAGTCGGCGAGGGCGTCGGCGCATCTGTTGGGGGCGCGATTGTCGGCGCAGCCGTCGGTGCAGGAGCTGGCGTCGGAGATGCTGAACCGCAATTGTCGATACTGCTGGTGCAGATCTCGCCGGTTGTGCACAAAGCGCTGCCACAGTCGCACGGGTAGGTCGCGCTCGCCCCTGACCCGTCGAAGACGGAGCACGGACTCGCTGGGAGGGCCAAGATCACCAGGTTGTCAGTGGGTATGGGGGTCGCGTCATTTGTGACACAGCCAGTGCAGTTCGTGGCCTTCAGGAGGTCCCACCGCTGCGCAGCGGTCATGGACCCCGCCGCTGGATACGCCTCGTACATTCTGGCCGCGAGCCCAGAGACGTGCGGGCAAGCCATGGACGTGCCTGTGTTGTAGTAGGTGTGGGTGTCGCTGGACGGGCCCGTCGAGAGGATCCTCGTGCCCGGGGCATACACATCGATGCAGGAGCCCCAGTTGCTGTACGAAGACCTGTCCCATGAGGTCCCCGACGCCCCGCCAAAGGCTGCCACTGTGATCGCCGACGGAATCCAAGCTGGATTCCAGCTGCACGCGTCTTGGTTAGAGTTTCCTGCAGCCACCACCACGGTCACGCCATCGGCAACCAAATTGTCGATCGAGGTCTGCTCCGCCATGTCGTTGTAGTTGGCCTGGATGCTGATGCTGACCACCGCTGGCCTGTTCCCAGAGGACAGAATCCACTGCTCGGCTAGGATGGACCACGTGGTCCAGCCGGAGCCTGCATCATTCAGGACCTTCATTGCCCACAGGGTCGCGCCATTCGCGACGCCATATGTCGAAGCCCCCACCGTGCCCGCACAGTGGCTGCCGTGCCCATGGACATCTGCAGCGCACGTTGTGCTGAGGGGCGCGCACTCTGTGAGAGTGCCAGGATACTCTCCCGAGGCGGCCACGTCCACTCCAGCGAAAGCGCGACCCCCGAACTCGTTATGGGTTATGCGAATGCCCGTGTCCAGCACGTACACGTGCACTCCCGCGCCCCGCCCCCGAACCACGTTCGCGCCGACGTACTGGATGCCCCATGGATAAGTCCGGGAGGCTCGCCCCTCCAAGTACACGTCTTCTGAATTGACGGTCTCCATGTCTGGGACCCTTTTCGAAAACTGGTCCTCTTGAACAAACTTCACTCGCCCCTTGTGCCTCGCCAGCAGCGCATTGAGAGACTTTCTGGTCATGCTTCCCACCACAAGTGGCATCTGGCCTCTGCCCGGATGGCTGTGCTGCCCGTTGTTCAACTCCTGCCGAATGCCACCCAGCTCTTCATCTGTAGCATCGTCCTCCAGCACAAGCGCCCAGTGGCGCTCCGCCCCTACGTCGACATCAGAGGTGGTGTAGATGGGCACGTCAGACGTGGGATTCCGAGCATCTGACACTCCGAGCAATGCCACGACTGTGCAAACGAGTGCTGCTGGGGCGGACGCCCATCCCGTCCGGCTGAGAGCGCCCATGGTGCCTCCGTGGCAAGTTTCCGGCGATCTGACTGTGAACTCTCGGCGAAGCTCGCCCGAACAAACGCTGCTGAGTCAGATTAGAATCGACCCGACTGGCCCGAGCCGCAACTGAGACGGAGATCACTCCGGCGATCCTACAGGCTCGGGTAAATCCCACCAGCCCCCGGGACCTGGGTGGTTTGGGCGCTTCCTCTGCCGA